AAGTCATTAACTTGGGTGTTTAAACCTTGTCCTTGGAGTCAAAAGGCACTGGGTTTAAGTTGCAATTTGACCAATTAGCAGTGGGACCTCAGACAATTTAGTTAAACTCTGTGAGCCTCAGTGTCTTCATCTCAAAAGGAGGTGATACTAACACCTTCTTCACAAGATTCTGGTGATAATTAAATAATATTTTTATATTTGTATATGTGCCAGAACCATATATATAGTGTCTAGGATAGAATCTAGCACATCATAAGTATTCCATAATATTAGATCTTTTCTGTTTACTACCCAAGCTACTGACCCATATAATTTCTTGGACATAGTAATAAAGGGCTGAAAATAATTTTAATAGTCCAAAAAGGCTAATAGAATTATTATATTTACTTACAATAATATTAACTGAAATGTTAAGTTCTTTTGGGAAATGTTTCAACATATCCCATGCTTGAAAGCAATCTTTCTTAGTACTTACACATCTTAGATTAATTAAAAATAGGAAAATGAACTATTCCTATATGTAACTTGGTATATAAAAACCCAGATACAACATTCATAAGGTATCTTGGTTACTTACAACTCCAATAGGTTGTTTTTTAATTATTTTATTTTATTTTAGATTCGAGGGTACATGTGCATGTTTGTTACATGGGTGTATTACATACTGGTGGTGATTGGGCTTCTAGGGTGCCCACTACCCAAACAGTGAACATTGTGCCGAATAGGTAATGTTTCAACCCTCACCCTCCTTGCTTATTTCCAACCACCTGTTTTAACCCTGGCTCCCAACTCCAAATTGTGATGGGTTTACAGAATTTTGGGGACTAATGTGTTAACTCTTGGGCTCAAGCAGTCTTTCTGCCCCAGCCTCCCAAGTAGGTGGGACTTCAGACATATACCACCACACCTGGCTATTTCTTTCTTTGTTTCTTAGAAACACGGTCTTGCCATGATGCATTTTCACTGAAAGATCACAAGGCTGCAGTAAGCCATGATTGGGCCACTGTACTCCAGCCTGGGTGACAGACTGAGATTGTGTGTCATGAAAAAAATGAACAAAATAGACAGTTGTGAGTACACTAATCACAACTTGGATCTTGTAAAAGTATGAAAGGAAGCTTTTAGTTTTCTTACTGAGTATACATTTCAATGACCACCAGCTCAAGAATGATAATATCTAGCATCGTATATCACTTTTACATGACATAAGTATGTCAAACAATGTCTCATTTTGTTCCTATAATAATCATACGAAGCAGGTGGTATAAATATTATTAGTCTTGCTTTGCAGATGAGGAAACTTGAGACTTGGAATTTAAATTGCTTGCCTATAGCGAAGTGGCTAAGAAGCACTAAATTCAGGACTCAATATCTGGTCCTCTTACTCCTAGTTCTGTAATTTTCCCTTTTTAAAAAGACTGAGGTGACATTCACATAACATAAAATTAACAATTTTAAAGTGTACAATCCAGTGCCTTTTAGTATATTCACAATATTGTGCATTTATAACCTCTATCTAGTTCTACATTTTCATCATCCCTAAAGAAAAGTCCATATCATTAAATAGTCACCTCTCCATCCCCTTTCCCTGGCCCCTGGCAATCACAGTCTGCTTTCTGTTTCTATGGTTTTACCTTTTCTGGAAGTTCATAAAAATGGAATTATACAATATGTGACCTTTTGTGTTCAGATTCCTTTACTTAGCATAAGGTTTTCAAGGCTCATCTACATGGTAGCATGTATCAGTACTTCATTTTCTTTTTATGAGTGAGTAATAGTCTATTTTATACATATGTACATACCACAATTTCTTTGTCCAGTTATGAACATTTGGATTGTTTCTAGTTTTTGATTATTGTCAACAGTGCTCAGTGCTACTATGAACATTCATATACAAGTATCCGAGAACCTGTTTTTGGTTCTTTTGGGTATAGACCTAGGGGTGGAGTTTCTGAATCATATGGTAATTCTATCTCTAACTTTTTGAGGCACATAGTAGCTACACTATTTTATATTCCCAACAGAAATGAATGAGGGTTCCAATTTCTCTAATGCTCATCAACTTGTTACTTTGCATTTTGTGTGTTTAAAAAATTATAGCCATTGTATGCTTGTGAAGTGACATCTCATTGCAGTTTTGATTTGCATTTCCCTAATGACTGATGTTGATCATCTTCTCATGTGCTTGTTGGCCGTGTGTATATCTTCTTCGGAGAAAATGTCGACTTAAGCCCTTTGCTCATCTTTTAGTTGGGTTGCTGTATTTCTTTCTTTCTTTTTTTTTAAAGAAAGTATATTTTCTCCTTCTAAAATTCCATAGTGTGCCTTTGGAAAATTTACCCTCTTGCTCCATAACTGTATAGTTATGTAAGAAAGATGTAATTATCACATTCTTGAGATTCTTTGATATTGTAGAGGTGTGTGTGTGTGTGGTGGGGAGATATACCTACTTATGAGTAATATATAGAAATTACCACAGGAGGTGAGAGTTCCACTGACAGAGTTGATAACCTAAGATGCAAAGGGTGAGATCATCCATTTGTCCATCATGGTGGTGCTGTCCTTAGGCTGAGGAAGTCACTCAGATGACAAGCTAAGCTGAATAGCAGGGACAGTGGCAGGTTTGAGAATGTGGGCTTTATTTAACTTGGGCCAGGAGGAAGAGGAGTTGTCTGGTGTGCCACCCTGTGTCAGAGAATAATGTGGCACCTGCTCTGAGGTAAAAGGTAAGATGCAGGTGGCTGTGGGGTGAGAGTGAGGGAGAAAGCCAGACACAGTTCTAGCTGGAACAGCCTCCTTGGCCAGAGAGTATGATCTTGGGCCAGACAATTCTCAGAGGAAGTCTTAATCATTTTTATGGTATTTGTATTCTGAGTAACAATTTCCCTTTTGTCTGTCTTGGCACTGAGTACTGCTCTTTGTGAAAACACCAGTCTGTCTCACGTGTGCTAGGGAGAATACAGCGAAGGGTTCTGGGCAATATTTGGTCGGAGGGGAGGCAGGATGCTCCCAGTGCCAAATGTGGGGTGGCTACAGTGGAAATAAGGATGAGAAGACGCCAGGGGAAGGAAGAGATTTCCTCTGGGACTCTCCCTGACATCCTTTATGTTTGACCCTCAAAAGGTTAAATGTTATATTGCGAAGGTGGTAATTTACAGACTTTTCTCTTCCTGCATTTCCCCCCTTTGCCTCCTTCCTTTCAATCAGATAGTTGGCAGTCATCCATAATCTCAGGAGAAGATGACAAACTGGCCAAAAGGCAAAAGCAGATGGTAAGTTACTTGTTTTGTGCTCTAAATGTCTAAATCTTTAGGGACACAATAGAGTCTGGGTTTGAACAAAATGTTTGGGAGAGGGAGGAGCTTTCCTTTAAACATGCAAAAGTTTTTCCAGGGCCAGAGGGGAAGAATTAAGGAGGTACATGGGTGTAAATGCAGACAGAAGTGGGGGTCTAAAAGGGGCCTTCACCAGGCTTTCCAGTAGAGCTTGGATGCAGTGAGGCCCTAGGGAGTGAATGGATCTGTGGGAGGTACAAGGAGGACAAATGGTCTCCCCAAAATGTCCATGTTCTAATTCTTGGAACTGTTACCTTATGTGGCAAAAAGAGACTTTATAGGTGTGATTACGTGAAAGATCTTGAGGTGGGAAAGTATCCTGGAATACCCAGATGGACATGATGTGATCCCAAGGCTCCTTATAAGAGGGAGGCAAGAGAGCAGAATCAGCAATGGAGTCATGATGATGCTATACTACTGGCTTGAGGACTTCCAGCCAAAAAGTGCAGGTGGCCTCTAGATGGTGGGAAAAGCAAGTTAAACAGATTCTCCTCTAGAGCTTCCAGAAGGAACCAGCCCTGCTGACACCTTAATTTTAGCCCTTAGGACTCGTTTTGGACTACTAATCTTCAGAACTATAAGTTAATATTTTTGGGTTGTTTTATACCACTGAACTTGTGGTAATTTTTTACAGCAGCAACAGAAAATGAGTAACAGCAGGGGTGGAGGCAGGAAAGACCATGGGAGGCCTCGTAGTTGACTCCTGTGCCCCAAAAGCATTCCAGCAGCAGCATGAGCCAGTGGGAGACCTGAGGGAACACACACGAGAGCAAGGGGAGCTTTGCAGCAACCTGCATGGACTGAACCAAAGACCCAGTGAGCTCCCAAACCCAGTGCTGTGGCATGACAGGTGCACCCTAGAATGTCCTGTCACACTTCTAGGGAAGCCTAGAAGCTCATTCCAAGTGAGATTAAATTTCTGTCCCCTTGGCTAGATGGGCACTTAAAGGGATAAATCGCTCTTGCACACTGAGCTTGGGAGCTGAAATTCCTACTCTCTATACACCAGTATTTTCACTTCTGTTTCAGGGGAGGGCATCCGCTGTGGGCCTCATGCTTTATATATGCTTGTTCTAGGTCATCTTCACAATCCAATGAGGTAAATACTTCCATTATCAATTTAATTTATTCCTGAAAATGTGCCAGATAGAGGATTATTGGAATGAGAGAGACTATATTCCATCATTTTAAATATATAAAATTATAATGAATTTCAGGCTTATTGAAATCAGTTTTCTCCAAGCATCTTTTTTTTTTTGAGACAGAGTCTTACTCTGTCACCCAGGCTGCAGTGCAGTGGCACAATCTTGGCTCATTGCAACCGCCCCCTCCTGGGTTCAAGCAATTCTCCTGTCTTAGCCTCCTGAGTAGCTGGGATTACAGGTACGTGCCACCATACCCAGCTAATTTGTTTTGCATTTTAGTAGAGACGGGGTTCCACCATGTTGGTCGGGCTGGTCTAAAACTCCTGACCTCAAATAATCCGCCTGCCTCAGCCTCCCATTATAGGCATGAGTTACCATGCCCAGCCACCACCAAACATCTTAAACATCTATGTAACAATCCACCAAGGATTTTCACATCATATTAAAGTATTCAGAATACCCATCATCTAATTATTAAATACATCAGTGGGTATTTTGTGTTGGAAACACAATACTGTATAGTATTAATACCAATTACATTTTTCTTCTACACTGTGGAGAATTATTATGCAGACTAACAACATGCATGCATGTTAAAGACACACAACAAATGCAAATAATACAAAGAAAATGCAGTTCTCTAGAGAGAATGACTGTTTTCTACATCCTCTAGCTTGACTCCTGTGTGCAACATAAACTTTTTCTCTGTTGTGCCCATGAGAATACCTTAAAACTTGGGTGATCATATAATTCATGGTCAAGTCAGGACAGTCTTTGTGAATGAAAGGAGAACTGTTAATAATTACACCGGGGCCGAGTACAGTGGCTCACCTCTGTAATCCTAGCACTTGTGAGGCTAAGGTGAGAGGATAGGATAGCCTGAGGCCACAAGTTTGAGGCCAGCCTGAGCAACATAGCAAGACGCTTGTCTCTGCAAGAAGCAAAACAAAACAAAAAACTTGCCAGGTGCGGTAGTGTGTGCTGGTAGTCCCAGCTACTAGGGAGACTGAGGTGGGAGGATTGCTTCAGCCTAGGAGTTCTGGGCTGTAGTGTGCTCTGCCGATCAGGTGTCTGCACTAAGTTTGGCATCAAAATGGTGACCTCCAAGGAGCAGGGGACCACCAAGTTGTCTAAGGAAGGGAGAAGCAGCCCAGGTCAGAAACAGAGCAGGTCAAAACTTCTGAGCTAGTTAGTAGTGAGATCGTGCCTGTGAATAACCATGGCACTACAGCCTGGACAACATAGCAAGATTGCATCTCTGAAAAATAAAAAAGTAAAAAGTAAATACCTAGTCGGGTGTGACAGATGCTTGTTGTCCAAGCTACTGGGGAGGCTGAGGTGGGAGGATGGCTTGAGCCTAGGAGATTGAGGTTGCGGTGTGCCATGGTCATGCCACTGCACTCTAGTCTGAATGACAGAACGAGACTCTCTCTAAAAATTAATTAATAATTACATTGGTATAATAGCTGAAACTGGAATTGTCTGGGGCAAAGTGAGATGTTATGGAATTTGAAAAATTAACATGCCTTTACATATTTTGCTCTCACCCTGTTTTTGCCAGATCCTAAACTGTGAAGTCTTCTCTTACTCCTTTCCCTAGCTTTAAAAAATGTTACATTTTTCTAAAATGTGATATATTCTTGTCATTTAAAAAAGCCACATTTTGTTTTCACCACACACAAGAAAGGTTACCTGTGAGACAATGAAAGTGTTAATTAGCTTGATAGTGGTGATCACTTGGTAAGGTATACATATATCTGATCATCTCATTGTACACCTGAAATATATACAAGTTTTATTTGTCAATTATAGCTCAATAAAACTAGGGGGGAACCCCATATCTAGCATGAGGCAGGTATCTTGTACATTACTTAATTTTCCTGACTTGCTGAAGGACCCTTCCAGAAACTTTTGTGCAATCTACCTTGACAGTCACTAGACTGTGTGTACCTTTGAGCAAATACTGCCCCTATTCACCCTGTATCTCAGAGTGCTGGGCACAGAGATGGTACTCAACTACATTTGTTGAATGAGGGAAACACCATATGTGAGAAGGAGACAAATTTCACCTCCTTTATTAATTGGATGTGCTAATCTACTTTAGAATGTTTCCTTCTTCTCTCTTGATTGACATGTGGAATTACATATTTTTTCCTGCTATTGCCTTAGTAGCCTCTTCTGGTACCTGTGATAATATGATAGCATGTGACTCATCCTTCTGACCAAAGCTGTGACGACTCTGTGGGCCTTATAACAAAGAGGGTGTGAGCTTCACATTAAATGTGATTCGAAGCTTCTAGATTCCACATATGTATTCAGCTATGGAAGTACCTCCTAAACATGGACAGAAGTGCCTTGACACGTCAGATGAGATTACAGATCAGATTCCACGCAGGATCAAGGTACTTCCCTGCTCTCTTGTGAAACGGTGCTTGTTTTTATAGTAACAAAATAGTCTAATGAAGTTCTTGATCTGTGAAGAATACAAATGTGCTCCATGAAGAGAACTTGTAAGTAATTCATGATCCAAGTCTAAGACAAAATATGGATCATTAAAACCAGCATGGCTCAATCTGAGCTTTCAACACTTGCGACTCTGGAATCACAAATATTGGATTGTTATTTTCGAGCAAGCACACTTCAAACATTTCAAATCCTAGTTTTCCAGGGTAATTGTTTATAGAAAACTCCCTCTTAACTTTGCTAGGTAATTGGATGTGCTAATCTACTTTAGAATGCTTCTCTCTTCTCTCTAGGCTACCACATGGAATTCTAAAGACACACATTCTCCTTTCTCAAGTCTCTCTCACTTTGCCCACCATTAATTTAATTTTGATGGTAGAGGTGTACCCTGAATTGCATTTCATGTATTGCATTTCAATTCATGTATTGCACTTCAATTCAGACAAAGGGTTGAGGATGAAGAATTTCAGCTCATTTTTTAAATCCAAGGCTGAAATAAACACAAGAAAATGTCAGAAGAACCATTAAAGATTTTCTTTCTGTCAAGCTCATAGATGCTTGGATAGCCTCTATGCGTCTCAAAGACCCTTGGTGGGGAACAGTTACGTAGCATGTTTGTGAGTACTTCAGATGGAAAAGAGGGACACTCATTTAGGATGCCTTAGTTAAAGAGCCCTGCCACACTGAGGCTAAAGTGTCTTTTAGGGAACAACTCAAGAGAATGGGCCACTTTATTGTTTCTTCAAGAGCTGGTATCTTTCGACTCCTCACTCTTCTACTGTGCTACTATGGGGTGCCCTGACTTCTTGCTTTCTTCTTCTGAAGAACCTTCTCTTACAGACCCAGAGATTCTATCCCTAAATCACATTATCCAAGAGAAAAAAATCTCATCGGTCAGTCAATCCCCACCAGCACAGAATTTGTCTCTAGGCAGAGATCTTAGACAAGGTCACCTAGTCATGTGCAGATAGCTGTGACTGGGCTAGGCTCCCATTCTTGGTCAACTTAGCTGTGGCCAGTGTACTGGTTTTAAATGATACACTTATATGTTACGTCTGCTGGTAACAAACCCCTGACAAAGGAGGCCATGGAAATGGCAAGCACACTGAAGTTTCCCAGCCCCTGGCATTCTGTTCCTTCAGATAAGTGAGAGGAGTTCTCTGAATTTTGTCACCACCCATTTCTTTCTTCATTAAACTTCCATCTTCTCTGCTCTGCCATATTCCTTACTCCACTCCAATCTCGTAACATCCAGTGGTGAAGCTTCCCTTCTGAGTGTGTGTATTTGCTCACTTTTGACTCAGAAATCTGGAAATAAAGTGTACTCAATAAACAAGTTTCCTCCATTCTTCTAGCAGCTGATGTATCCTATGTTATTTCCAAACTCTGTATTCCATGTAGAATTCATAAAAGCAAGTAGTTCAAAATTAATTTGATTACTCTCTCAGATTATCTGGGGCTTTGCTAGGACCAGCCAAGTTCCCATTTCTTTCCTCTGTGTCGATCAGATCACATAATGTTTTATACTTTAATTTCTTGGCCCCATGATTACACACCATGGAGCTCATTTAGAATGTCTCAGCATTGCTCCTGTGTGAGATATGAGTGCATTCTGCCAGTCCACAGACATGTGCTGGCATTTCCTATTAAAGAGAAAATGGACCACACACTTCTGGCTTGTGCTTACAAGGTCTTAATGGAAATTATTAGACCAGAGGGAAGGCTTGCAAGAGATAATGGTAATGTAGTAATTTTATCAGGTCATTCCATTTGAGAGGAAGAATCTCTCTATTTTCCTTCTCTCATTGGAAGAACTGTTTATGAAGGTGTAGTTCAACAACTCCACAGAGCTGTGTGAGGGCTCCATGGGGGTTTCGGGACAGAAACCCTTAGCTTGAGAAAGGACTTAGGGGTATAAACAGACACCAATGCAGAAATAATTCAATGTATAGCTATTTATGACTGGCATCATGAAAGACAGGGCTCACTGTCTTTCATGATGCCAGTCATAAATAGCTATACATTGAATTATTTCAATGTATAGGTATTGAAATAATAGGCAGGGTGCAAGAATCAAAACATAGGCAGGGTGCAAGAATGCACTCTCCTATAACACAGGGGCAGGTGGACTCAAACTCTCTAGGTTGCCAGCCCCACCCTCTAGCCCTACCACAGTCTCTGAACCACAAGCCTCCTGTTGGCTTCGACTTTCTGGATTTTGTCTTTGACACACCTCCATGTGGTAGGAATTTAGGGTAAACGCATTCATTCACTCATTCATTTATTCATGTCTACCCTTGTTCATTCATTCACTCACTAATGCACTCAATCATTCATTCAATGATGATTTAACAAGTATTTGATGAGAACCTCTATGTGCCTAGTGGCATGTCAGGAACTGAGGTGTTTATGAGGGGTATATGAAAATAAAGGTAAATCACAATCCCTGTTCTCCACAGCTTCATTGTTTTTGTTGTTGTTTGTTTGTTTTTTCAGATGGGGGTCTTGTGCTGTTTCCCAGGCTGGAGTCGTGCGATCTCAGCTCACTGCAATTTCTGCCTTCTGGTTCAAGTGATTCTCCTGCCTCAGCCTCCTGAGTAGCTGGGATTACAGGCATGTGCCACCATGCCCAGATAATTTTTGTATTTTTAGTAGAGACAGGTTTTCGCTGTGTTGACCAGGCTGGTCTTAAACTCCTGATCTCAGATGATCCACCTGCTCTCGACCTCCCAAAGTGCTGGGAAAACAGGTGTGATCCACCGCACCTGACCCTTTGTGGTTTTATTTAAGAGACAAATCTAGCATATATTTTAGAGTTTAGTATAATATATGATGGTTCAGAATGTCAGTGCCAAAAAAGTGACCCAGATAGTATGAGCTATAGGAGTTCCCAGAAAGGTGAACATAGCAGGGGAGGTTACCAGGAGAAAGTGGGACTTGAGCAGGATCCTGAAATATGGGGGCTTTTAGCAGGAATGGAACAGAGAGAAAGGACCTCAAAACAAACAAACACAGAATAAGCAAAGGCAGAAAGTCATACATGATAATACTGTTTATAGAAGAGAGTGAGGAGATTATCCTGGCTAGAGGGAAGGTACCATATTTGGAGTTATTAGGAATAAATATCAAATTAGATGAGGGCCAGATAGTGAAGGAATTTCAATGAGAGAAAAAATGTGTTTTGACTTTACTCAATATAGGTTTTGAGAACCTTTAGCACATGTCTTGAATAGAAATGTGATGCTGTTGCAAAGAGCTTACAGTAGCTCAGGGGTTCCACCATTACCCAAATAATCAGGCAGTGTTCCTGGAAGTATAGTAAGGAGGACACTCTGACACAGGCAGCCCCCTAGTAATGGGAAGAGGAAGAGGAAGAGGAAATGGATCAAAGAGGAAGGATAATGTCTGATTTTTCTAACTACGTGAAATCTTAAAAGACTTTCTTTTTCTCTTTCTTTTTTTTTTTTTTTGTGAGACATGGTCTCATCCTACCACCCAGGCTGCAGTGCAGTGGCACGATCTTGGTACACAGCAACCTCTGCCTTCCTGGTTCAAGGGATTCTTGTGCTTCAGCCTCCCAAGGAGCTGGGATTACAGGTGTGTATCACCACATCTGGCTGTTTTTTTTTTTTTTTTTTTTTGGTGTTGTTTGTTTGTTTTTAGTAGAGACAAGGGTTTTGCCATATTGGGCAGGCTGGTCTTAAATTTCTGGCTTTAAGTGGTCTACGCACCTTGGCCTCCGAAAGTACTGGGACTAATTACAAGTATGAGCCACTGTGCCTAGCCAACTCACTGACATATGTGTACATGTGTAAACTTGAATCAAACAGGAGTTGCCAGTGAGAGAGATCCTTTTGTACAGTGGTTTATTTAAAAGGGAATGTATTGGCTCACATAACTCAGGGCAAGAGGGAGGATTTAATATACATCTTCAGTAGTTTCATATAAAGTTGAAGATAATCAATTTTTCTTGTTCTATGACTAAGGTTCAAATAACTCACATATTTAACATACTACATTATCCTTAAACATTTAGCACCACTTACATGTTCAAATTCCTATAGACAATATTGGAAAAGGACAAACCACAGGTAGACACAGTAATGCAATACTCTTGTAAGAACATTACATTATTCATATAATCCTCACAACAACCTTATCAAATAGGTACTAGTATTCTCAACTCAATTTTTAAAAATGAGAAAAAGGCCCAGAATGTCTTCATCTGTTTTGTGTTGCAATAAGGGAATACCTGAGACTGGGCAGTTTATAAAGAAAAGAGGTTTATTTGGCTCGCAGTTCTGCAGGCTGTATAAGCAGCATGGTGCCAACATATGCTCAGCTTCTCATAGAGGCCTCAAGCTATTTCCACTCAGGGCAGAAGGTGAAGGGGAGCTGGCTGTGTAGAGATCACATGGCCAGAGAGGAGGCAAATGAGTGGGAGGGAGATGCCAGGCTCTTTTTAACAACCAGCTCTCTCAGGAACACCCACCCTCCAGGGAGGGCATTTATCTATTTATTCATGAGCAGTCTACCTCCATGACCCAACACTTCCTAGTAGGCCCTACCTTCAACATTGGGGATCAGATTTCAACACAAGGTTTTTTGAGGACAAACATCCAAACTGTAGGAGAGAATTTTATACATCTAATAAGTTGTACAACTTGGATTCAAACCCAGTCATTCAGACTCCAGAGTTCATCCTCTTAACCACTATACTTCTACTGATAGTAAAACTCGACAGACGTCACAAAAAAAACTACAAATTAACATCTCTTAAGAGTATAGATGCAAAAATTCTCAAAATACTTGCAAACCAAATTCAGGATGAATTATTTGATGAATAATTCAGGATTATTCATCATGACCAAATGGATTTATCCTAGGAATGCAAGGGTGGCTTAGCATTTGAGACCAGCGACTTCTTGAGTCTAGGAGATGGAGACAGGATTCTGGGGAGACCAAGGTGGCTAGAGTGCAGAGCAGAGGATTCGAGGATGGACCAGATAGTCGCAGAGTCCTGGGGAGTGTTCAGCAGCTTGCTGATCAGGTATGTGTATGAGTCACCCATTTCTCCTCTCCTGAGGAAATACATGATTCTGGAACTCTGTGGCTATCTGGACTGTCCTCTTTTGTCCTCTTGAGTTCTGCACTCTGGCCACCTTGGCCTCCCCAAAGTCTTGGCTCCATCTCCTAGACTCAAGAAGTCGCTGGTCTCACCTGGTTTCCTCCTCCTTGTGCCATGTCCTGAAGGCTGTCTCAATCTGTGTGGCTTGATTAGGGCTCAGGTCCAGACCTGACCAGTCAATGTACTTTATTTCCTTGGTTGTAATGATTAGTTCTGGGATAGCTGGGTGCCCATATTAGTCTAAGACTCAATTCTAGAATTTTTGTTCAAAGTTTTGGGAAATAAGTGATCTTTTCTTCTGGGATTGCTATCTTATTCTAGAAGAATAACGTGGGGGCAACCACGTGAAAGATTCTGCCTGAAATTAAATTCAGAACAGAGGAAGGCAGAATGGAGAGATAAAGAGACTGAGACTTCATGGTGTTGTTTGAACCTCTGAATGCATCTACACCTGAAACCCATAACCTGTCTTTTTATTTAATACGTGAGCCATCAAATCCTTTTTTTCCCAGTTGATACCAGTTTAATTTAATTTCTACCACCTGCAATTGACAGAGTCCTCAGTAACATAGCTAAACTACATCAGCCCTGCTTCTTTTTAACACCCTTCTCAAACTCTGGGGATAAATCAGTGGTCCTCCAACTTCACACACACAGAGTCACAGACGCATACCAACTTGATCCTCTCTCCTTTTTGTCAGGGAGAAGGGAGTGGAGGGCTCATACCACCCACTCTTTCAGTATCTGGTACTGAAAAGACAAAGAGTGCCAATAATCATGCCACAGGTAAGATGGCATCTACACAAATAAAATGCAACATTGCTAAACATGAATATATTCCCAATTCGCTTTTACCAAGAAAAAAATATTTTTAAGAATGCTTGCACTCATCATAAAAATCATTTCTGAGGGTCTAGCCCTGTAATGCAACTTACAGAAATATGTAAGAGAATGAGACCAACAGAAGATCTTGAAGGTGACAGAATAGTAGTGACAGTCCTAAGCAAGAAGCTTACTGGAAGTTTGACTTCTACTGGCTCCAAGACAAACATTCGTTTTGAGGAAACAATTGTGAAAAATGTTTCTGTTTGAAAACATTAGCTTACAGAGCAAACAGTTTATTTTAAAATCTATACTTAAACTATTAGGTTGCTGCCAAATAAAATACTTGTCCAACCAAACATATGTTTCAGTGAAAAATACTTGCCATTGTAGACAGACCGGAAGGAACTGCCCAAAATCTGGTCAAACTTAGCAATATTTTAAAAATCAAATTGTTAACCACTGAATTGTCAAAATGGTAATTTTCCAATCAATGTTCCAGTGTCACTTGTCAATTATTGTATTATAAAAATAGACGAAGTGTATTTTATGATTATTCATTTTTAAAAAGTTCTATTTAAGAATTTGGCAGTCTTATCAATGCAAACGTAATTTTTTTTCTTTGAGTGTCAGGAATTTAAGTTGCATTTTTGCAATTTCTCCTCCTCCTTCTCCTTATTATTTTTTTTTTTGAAGGGAGACTAACCATCTAACTTGGAGTCTTCCCAAAGATTCTTACAGATTAACCTTACAGATTGGCATTCTTTGTCTTTTCATCACCAGAATACAGAGTGGGATCCCCTCCACTTCCTTCTCCCTGACAGAAAGGACAGAGGATCAAGTTGGTGTAAGTCTGTGAGTTACTGTGTGTGCATGTGCATCTGTGTGTATGTGAAGATAGAGGACCACTGTGATTTGTCCCCAAAGTCTGAGAAAGAAGTGTGTTAAAAAGAGGTACTGCTGATGCAGTCTGGCTATATAACTATGGTTAATCCATTAGGATCTTTGGGAAGTTTCTTTGCCTATTCTGAAACATTTTCCTACAGGGTCTTTACCTCAGAAGTGTTTGGGTCACTAGTCTTTTAAACTTCATTTCATTTCATTCCTTTTTTTTTTTTGTCATTGTTCTTTATAGTTTAAAAACAGCGGGTCAGAGAATCATGGCTTGTGCCATCCAGAGCTAGGAAATGGCATCACCAAGCTCACCAAATCATAGTCCAGGGCAATATGTGCTGTACTGATGGCTTTATCCTGGAGCCCTCAAGTGTTTTTCAATTGCCCTAATCGTGAGTTGATCCTCAGACTTAAGCCTGAGCATATTTTATGTCACAACATTCTTGTAGGAGCATCTTCCAGAATCTATGGAATATGATTTCAGTACCAACAAGGAGATGGGATCTTGATTCTTAGGAAAGGCAGCCACCCATCCCATCATTATTCTTATGGATGGAGGAAGAAAAGTCACCTGGGCCTCTCAGACTGTGTAGGGTCCCTTCTTTGGGTTTTTGCTCAGGCAGCTCCAGTCCTAGAACACCTTTCCTCAGTTCCTCTCTACCTACCTGAATGCACACAATCTTTATGGCCCATCTCATTTGTGAAGCTTTGCTTATCTCCTAAAGTGATGGCTTCCTCTTCTGGACTCTTATGCCACTTATCAGCTCTTGAACCTGGACATCAGAGAGAGAAACTAGGTCTCTGAAAGATTTCCACAGTATAAGATCATGGAAGGTGGGAGTACCACAATTTACACACTTTTTGTTTGCCTCACAGTGACCTGCATAGTGTCTTTATTTTGGTTTAAAGACAAGTTCTCCAGTTTCAAAAGGAAAGTGAGAATAGGTTATTTTTTTCTTTGAGATGCTCTTTCACAGAGAACATAGACTTACCAGAAACAATACAATAGAAATAAGCCTTAGTGTAACCCTGTGACATCCTAGCTCAGAGGAGGGTAAGGGCATGTAGCCAGGCAGGAAAGTGTATGATGAGGGAGGCAGACAGGCTTCCTCAGGTTCCTATAGGTATATGTAAGAGACCCTGCGAGAATATGCTTTCTTTTTCCTCAAGCTGCCCTGGGAGAGGGGAGTCTCAGGACCCATTCATTTAAAGGGTAACTGGAAGCCACTGCTAGAGACTGTTGCTAGGCACTCAGGGGAGCCTACCATGCACTAGGAACTGCCAACCCTCAGAATGTGAATTAACCATTGCATATGTTTCTAATTTCGAACAGATGCACTGTAGCATGCTTACCTCATCCTGCTTATAACTGAAGTCCTATAGGCTTCAACAATCTGGTGACCAAAAGAAGACTGTTAGAACCAGGTAGCATTTGCTAGGAGAGCTTCAAAGGAGTTTGTCCTGGAGATCCCTACCAATAGTCTCATGCACATAGTAGGTGTCCATTAGATATTCTGCACAGCTGTTAAATGGTAGGTAACTTTAGTTGGGCTTGTCTATTCTTACAGATGCTTAGGAAAATATAAGATTAAATTCCTGGGGAAAAGGTGGGATGGTAAGAAGATAGTGAAGGGAATTTGTGAGTTTCTGAAGGGATAGCTATGCTTGTCTAATTATTTCTCTTTTCCTTAACTTGTCAAGACTTAAAAAAGAAAAAAAAAGAGCAGCTGTTTTTTACCCAGTGGCTATTCTTTAAATCTTTATGGGACTGAACTGCCACCAATATGTTTTAAACTCATGAGACCTTTGCAAATTATAATAGCTGATTTCCCTGCAAACGGAAAAGATATATTTAGAGGCTTTCCTGGGAGAATGAGCTGGCCCCAGGGATTCATAATGGACTGTAGAGCCTTTCACCTCAAGGTCAATAGGTCAAATCCAAATCAGGCCTGGGGTGGCTGAGAGGCATTGTTTGAGTGGCAGCTGTTGGGTGACCAGGGTGAAAGGAGCTGGAGGATTCGGCTGCATTTCAAGTGAAGTGAACAGGTGCTGCCTGCCAGGGTCCTGGCAGAGGATGAAAGAGAGTGGTCACAAATTGTCTGAACTGGGTCTCCCAGACTCAGAGACCATTTTTGACCTGGCAAAGTGAGGAGCTAAACTTCCAAGTATTTTTGTGAGAGGAGGAAAGCTGAAGGAAAGATGCATCTAAACTGCCAAGGCCTCAGAAGAGGAGGGTGTGCCAGATGAATGGCGAGGCACCTTCTGCATCATCTGAGGCCGGAGCTGGCTTCTGCGTGCTGAGCATTTCACTGTCTCCTACCTCTTCTGCCACACTCCTTGCACCCTTTCTTTCCGTCGAAGGCCGGCACTGTCTTCTGTCTCTAAGTAAGGAAGAACAAGTGAAGATGCAAAGGGATCAGTGGGCAGACTGCAGTGATTAAAATACATGGTGAGGGCTTTTTGGTTTTCAGTTTTGCAACGCATTTTACACCCTATACATCTTAGACTCACAGCATGCAGGAGTGGGATATAAAATGTGTAATAGAGTGGGGGGTCAGAATTCAGTAGCTGTTTCATAAAAGCTTAGGACAGAACACTGTGTTAGTCCTAGCTCTTGTATTGACTGTTGAAGAAATTGAGGTTCAGATAGTTGGAGGTCGGTCACTGTGTCAGGGTCTAAGTCACCAGCAAGTTAGGTGACTCCAATTGAGGAGAACAGTCAATGAAGGTATTGAAAGTATATGGAGAAGTTCACAGCAGCTTAAGGGAAGCCAGTGTGGCCAGTAGTGAGGAGGCAAATGTTTGATAATTCTTCAGGGGAGGCCTCTTTTACTGCTTTAGCCACTGGCTGTAGGTTAGGGCAGGGAATATCCCACTCGACAGAAAACTGGCATCTTCTTGCTTGAAGTCTCTAATTAAATTTCACCTTTAAGAGAAGCTTTCCCTGGCCACTACAAGCAAAACAGTAACTTCTTCCACTTATGTGCACTCCCTTTTCCTCTTATCCTTTATTGCTTTCCATAGCGATTATTACCATCTGGCCATTACTCATTTATTATTTACTATTTACTTTCAGTCTCTGCCTCCAACTCCCTTCTCCATGATCCCATTTCTGAGGGGTAGAGTGTCCTCCAGAAGTTGCCTGTGCCCTTGGGAGAGAAGGTTCCCTTAGATTCCAGGTCTGGGCAAGTTTCAAAGCTCCTCCCTTGGGAACCTCATATGGATGGGGGTGGGGTGCTGTTTTTTTCCCAGAGCTTTCCCCTTTTGCCTGCAATCCAAGATCCTCAGTGAGATGGCTCTTCCCTGGTCCCAAATCCTGGAGGAAAGGAGCTTTCTAAACAAGTGAATGAACAGGTATGGAAGGAGAAAGGGCCACCTATGGAAGGAGGAAAGGCCACCGCAGGCCAGAGTCTCTGTGCTGTTTGGACACCACATTTTCAACCAAGTTTTTGCTGGCAGGCTCAAGCACCTGTCTGCTAATAAGGCTTAGCAAAGATTCCTCCTAGCTGTATTCAGCCTTTCTCTCTCCATTTTTCTTTTCCTCCTCCCGCGCCCCACCCCCTTTCACCTGCAGCCGACTCTCCACCCCCATCCATTTCCTAGGAAAATAAATCTCTGGGAGGAGGCAGGAAGAGTGGATCTCAGGGAACCCTTCTGAATAAATGTCTATATTAATGAATTATTAACTCAGCCACCCGTGACCTTAAACCTAGAAGCGCGAGCACCCAGGGCAGAGCGGAGAGCTGCCGAATCCTTTATTGGAGTTCTGTCAAAGGCAACCGACCATTTGTTCCACTCCCCCATCAAGAAAAAATAATTAATATGAAAAGCAAACTTTTGAATTGTATGTCAAACGAAATCAGATAGAGAGTCTCCCGGACAGAACCCCCTTCTCCTCCTGCCCCTTCTGCTGCTCCCTCCCTACCCTGGCCTCCAGCTCCATCTCTCCCCTCCTAGCTTAGGGTACAAAGGGTTTCCCAAGGATAATTTTCGGGGCAAAAATGCTCGAGAAAATAATGAATTTGGGTAGTTAATTTATCGATCCTGGCTCCTCTTCCCACTTGTTTTATTTTAGAGGTCATTAATCAATGAAGAAAAACACCACCGTGTCCCCCCGTTTGCATTTAATACATTCAGCCTCCTTATTTATTCCTCTGGAACAAATTCCCAGCAAATATTCACCCATCGATTTGGGAGCAATGGATTTTTATAAAGATTTGATCGCTTTCTAAGTGATCGAAGTGATTTGTTTCCCCGGTCCTCTAAGTATTGAAGGGGATGGGGGGAGTGGATTTGAGGGGGCGCTGGTCCGTGCCTTCGGTAGGCTCACTTTCTAAAAATTACTGAGACGCGCCAGGGTGGCCGTGACCAAGCGGGCCAAGGGTCAACTGTGTGGAGGGGAAGCGCCCCTCGGAGCGCACGCAGCCCCGGGGATCCCGCCTACCAGCAGCCCGCCCGCTTGCGCTCCGGGGGAACACTACGCGGACTCCGCCTCACCCGCCCTGCGCCTCCTGCCTGCTGGAGAGGCGCAGGGAAGACTCCTGGTCCATTCCCTTCCAGACCTTTTCGTTCGCTCCCGGGCCTTCCGGGCGGTCCCTCAAACTTTCTCCTGCCCCCTTCATGCGAGGTCCCTATACCCTCTGGGTCCTAGGGTCCCGTCGCCTCCTGATCGACCTGTGCCGGGGGTGAGTGGGGCAGAAGCTTGAATCAGAGAACCCAGGTACGCCATCCGTAGACGTAGTGGGCGAGGGGGACTTCGCTACCTTCTCAGCTTCTTGCCTGGCTCCTGCAGCACGGGGAGCCACATCTCTCCCGTGGTGCTCCCTCAACCCTCTGGCGACAGTCTGGACCGAGTGACTACAGGTTTGACTAGGGTGGGCAGGAGATGCACTTGGCACCTCACCGAACAGCATTTGAATCCGCCTACATTACTCATTATTGGCGTGACCTTAAGCAACCTATCTAACCCGTCTGAACCTCAGCAGTCCCCACCTACAATATGGGGGTTACTGATGCCTTCTCCGCAAGGTTGCTAGATGGATTAAATGGACGTAAAGCACCAACCCGAGCCCAGCACGTCCAAAGCTCTCATTAACAGGTCAGCTAATCTCATTACAAGAGGAACCCTCCCTCTTCCGCTTCCCAGAGTGTGGGCGGCCTGTGGCCACCGAAGCAGCTGCTGCAACTAGCATTTCAAAATCCCAAGACTTTCTACTGGTGGCAGGCGGTGAAGGGGTATGGGGGAGGTGGGTCGGGGCAGGTAGAGGTTCTTTGGGACTTCCAGTCCTGGGGACCAAGCGCTTGGAAGTAGCTGGGTTTGGGCAGAAACAAGAAGGCAGATGGGAAGACTGCTGCCGCCAAGTCCGGACTTCCATCCCTGGAGCTCACTGTCTCTCCCAGGGAACAGAGGAGTGTCCTGGTTTCTCAGCAGTGAACCTGGAGAGTGTGAGAAAAAGGATATGTTTCTTCTCCCGCGGCCCGACAAACCTCTCTTCGGCAGTTCTACCAGCAGATTGATTGAAACGGGCCTGGAACTTCATCCTCTCCTCCTTATGGAGTTGCTGGAAGTCTGCGGAGACTGCCTGGTTAGCCTCCGGGTCCACAGTGCCGTGGGTTTTCCCTTCTGGTGTCTGCCTTAAACTTGGGTGCCATCAATCTGTCCAACGATGACGGATGACCTTGTCATAAAGACGCCAGTCAAAACATTTCGGTCCGACTCTGTTCCAACCAACATCGAAGCATCCTGCTTGAGACCCGGATGAAGTCTAAACAGCACGTTTCCCAGGCTCAGACAACTTGAGTGGTGGGAAGAGAAAAAGAAACAAGCAGAAATCAGAAAAGTATGGCTATTAATTGTTCAGACTGGCAAGTGCTAAATAAGTTAGGTTGTCTGGAGAAAGACAAATGCCGTCTCTTCTCTTTGAGCTACGGCCAGAACCCTGGAGATGGGAAAGCATCTCCTGAATCGGTCAATTGCATACATCTTGCCTGTACCTTCTACCACCTACTATTGAAAATGCCAGGAAGAGCTGGGGGAGGGAAGTGGCTAATTCGTGGGTGCGAGACTGCATCTAAGGGCTGCCCTGGCCCAAAGTCTGGGGAGAGGGCATGGTGGGGGTGGGGCTGCACCTCTTCCGCCACGTTTTGGGTAGAGAAACGTACGCTTGACCTGGGGCAGCTGCAGGAAGCTAACTGCAAACAACAACATTGCTGGTGTCCCGGAGCAGTTGTGCCACCAGACGTAGCACTGGATACTTGCCTCAAGTCCCCAACTAGGAGTGGGAAAGAGCCCTCCAGAAGACAACCTGGAAAGGGGTCGGCTGAGCGCTGGATGTTGTGCAGACTCCATTGCAGCCGCCTCCCAGCCCTGCGGCCAATCCCGCCAGGACCAGCTGCTCTTAGAGACTGTCGGTCCCACGACTCCCTGCACCGACAAGCCTGCCTCCAGGGCTGCAGACGGAGGGTTTCACCCCAGCGCGCAGCCCGTCCCGTTCCGCCCTCAACTTTTCTCCCAGAGGATTTATGATAGAGCTGGAGTGGCGAGCGAGTGGACTCTAGCACCCAGAAGCACTCCAGGAAAAACTGAGCCGGGCAAACCCGGACCGGCGGCACGGGCTTGCTCAAGCGTGGACACTACAGCGTGTGCGGAGATGCATTCGGTTGCCGCGTTTCCAATGATTTCAAGATCAGGGCACTGAGCTGACACCCAAAAAAGACATATCATGGACAGAAAGAGATAACAGGCTAGCGGAAGACGTCACGCCAAAAAAAAAAAAAAAAAAAAAAAAAAAAACAACGGGGGTTGGTAGGGCGGAGGAGTTTGTGCGGGAAAGGCGCACTGGCGGTGTGGGTCGGGCAGTTAGAACTTCCTTCTTCCCTCTCTCCTCCCCTTCTTCTGGCCTGCCTCCCCTCCCCCCTCCGTTCCCCATTTCTCTCTCTCTCTCATTCTCTCTCTCTCTCTCTCTCTCTCTCTCTCTCACACACACACACACACACACTTGTATTTTGTGCTGTCGTAAAACCCACGTGTCCAGCCGGGAGGCTGCCAGAGCGTGGAGCCACGGAGCTAGGAGGCGGCAGCGGCCAAGCGCAGCAGCCCCCGGCGGCTCAGTCCAGCGCCCAGGTCCGCCTGCGCTCTCGCGCCCTCCGCGGGCTTCCAATTCCCTCGCTCGCAGGTCGGGCGGGTTCCGGGCGGCACGATCTCTAGGACTCTTCTCCCGCCTTCCCCAGGAGCATGTAGTGCACACAGGGAGCACACTCTCCGCACCCGCACGCCCACCGAGACACACGCACGCACCCACCCGCAGCGCCGAGTTTTCAGGTAAGGTGACGCTCATCTGGGACTTAGAGTCTAGGGCTTGGTGGATAGGAAGGTTGGTGGTCCTAGGTGGGGGGCGGGGGGCGAGACTGTCCCGCCTCCTGGCGCCTGAGGCGAATGCGGCTCGGGCGCTGCTCCACCCGGCTCGGGTCCGCTCCGGGCGCTGGCGGAGGGCGGGGGCTGCGTCCTGCAGCCGAGCTCTGCTGGCAGCGCCCTCCCGTCGGGCCCCAGCATTGTTGGATGGGAGCTGGACGCTGCGGGCGAGGAGGCAGAGCAGGGTGCCCATAGCTCCCTCTGTGCGGCGCCGCAGCGTCGGAGTAAACTTTGCGCCCCAGCGGAGTTGGGAAGAGGGAGCCGAGGAACGGGGCGGCCGCTGGCTGAGCCACCGGCTCCGGTGCTTTCTCCAGGGTCCCAGCGGCCCTCTTCGTGGCCCGGTCGCCCAGGCCCTGGGTCCGGCTCACGCGTCTCCTCTTCCCTGCCCTTTGTCGTCCCCAGTTCCAGGCGTCGGAAATGTTGAAGCCGGGAGACCCAGGCGGCTCGGCCTTCCTCAAAGTGGACCCAGCCTACCTGCAGCACTGGCAGCAACTCTTCCCGCACGGCGGCGCCGGCCCGCTCAAGGGCAGCGGCGCCGCAGGTCCCCTGAGCGCGCCACAGCCTCTTCAGCCGCCGCCACCTCCCCCGCCGCCCCCAGAGCGCGCCGAGCCTCCGCCGGACAGCCTGCGCCCGCGGCCCGCCTCTCTGTCCTCTGCCTCGTCCACCCCGGCTTCCTCCTCCACCTCCGCCTCCTCCGCCTCCTCCTGCGCTGCTGCCGCCGCGCTGGCGGGTCTCTCGGCCCTGCCGGTGTCGCAGCTGCCGGTGTTCGCGCCTCTAGCCGTCGCCGCCGAGCCGCTGACCCACAAGGAACTGTGCCTCGGCGCCGCCTCCGGCCCGGGGCCCGCCAAGTGCGGCGGCGGCGGCGGCGGGGATGGCCGAGGCGCCCAGCGCTTCCGCTGCAGCGCAGAGGAGCTGGACTATTACCTGTATGGCCAGCAGCGCATGGAGATCATCCCGCTCAACCAGCACACTAGCGACCCCAACAACCGTACGTAGCCCCAGCCCGCGCGCTCTCTCCCAGGGCGCTGGCGCGGGTGGGCGCGGGAGCCAGTCAGGCGGGTCGGGTAAGAGTGACACGTGGGCGGGGGGAGCAGCTGATCCGGGCCGCCGGCCCGCTCCTCCCCCGATCTCTGTGACAAAAGTTTTCTTGCAAGGGAGAAGGAAAAGAGAACGGTTGAGTCGGCCGGTGGCACTTCGGGGTTCCCTCTCCCTCCCTCCCTCCCCTCACCTGCTTCACAATCCCTAGTGTTTGGGGCCGGAGTAGCCCGTGGACCCGACCTTGCAGACCTCTGCCCTCCCGCCCGACAGTACCGGGGGCAAGGCGGGTACTGCCAGGGGGTGTCTGGGACCGACTCTGTCTGGTCTTAGCCGGGACGAGGGAGGGACCCTCAGAGTTTCTGGGGAACACGCAGAACAAGCCTTGTTTCTGCTGCTCTCCACCCCACCTATGGAGGTCAGGTCATTTTCTGGCCGCTGGGTTGTGGGGGAAACCGGTCGCGAGCTGTTCACTGTCCAGGCCTCGCTTGAGTAGGAATTTTGGGTGGTACTGAGTCGTTTCTCCTTGAAGGCAGGTAGTATTCCTAGATCTACTATTCATTTAAAAAAAGAAGGAAAAGAAGAAAAAAATGCCTGCTACTTACTGAGAAGAAAATTTCTGTTCCCCGCTGAGTCCGCTGATCCCGCTTTATTCGCGCACCTTTGACCTCGCAAACGTTCATAACCCAAGTTGATTTATTTATTTATTTTAGAAATTAAGGTGATTATAATTTAGTAAAAGACGCTTTCTCCCCTCTTCCTCCAAGTTAATAGCAAATGCCAAACTAAACATCAGGATTCCTGTCGCTTCAGTTCCTATGTTCACAATTTGAAACGCTTATCACAAGTACGGTTCCATTTGGTGGTTTTGAAGCAAAACTCTAAATGATGATCAAGCAGTATGTACTGCTTTATATCTGCTTCTTTTTGGTAATTTCAGAAGTTTTTACTGTGTTTACACCTATACTGAGTTGGGGGTGTTAAACGTGCTCCCAGAGACTTCTGGAGATAACGTTAAAGTATGTTAAGAGCGTCAGATTGAAAGCAATACAGGATTTGAAAGATCATTCGTTCCCATGTTTTCTTCATTTCATTCATTCATCTGGCTTCTGTATGAGTAAAGTCATAAAATTTGTTTTAAAAACAAAATCACAATATTGTTTTTATTCAATTTTGAATAAGTTGCTTCTTGCAAAATGTCTACCACTCTGTGAACTTCTTAATTCGTTGTAAAAGCAAAATAAGTTCAGTTATGGCTTTTTAAAGCATTCCAAAATCGTTGCGTTGATGAAAAAAACCACTGGGCAGCAGCCTCGTGATTGAGGTCTATGAATATTTTCATTATGTTGGACATAGTTGTGATGGAGATGATAATTACCAACAAAAAGAGCAATCATGTTTCCTTTTTTCTTTATAAAGTTTGAGGACAAAGCACTGGTTTAAAATAATGGTTTCAACTCTAATTTTGCTGTGCAGTTGAGAAGACTTGTATTTCAGAGTTTCAGAAAGTTTTACAAAATATACTCTCCCCATAGATTTTAGAAAATACTTATCACCTACTGAATTTCTCAAATGTGTGCTTTTGAAGCAATTATTTTAAATTGTGAATTAAGATTTTTAAGCTGCCTTGGAAAAGATATGTCTTACTGCTAAGTGAAATATAGCCATTGCAGGCTGAGAATGCTTCACCTATCTTACAGTTTCTCTTCTGAATTAAATATATGCTAGAGAAGTCATAGGAGCACACCCCAAAACTCTGGCTGTGTGCTGAGTTCCCTGTACTGTTTACAGTGCAGTCTGGCAATTTAATACATTTTCACCCGAGAAAACTGAACACTAATCAGAGAAAGAATTGGGATAGATTCCTAATGGGTATTGAACTAGTTTATTGCCTAGGTAACTTTTTTCTCTGGTTGGAGAAAATAAATTACAATTTTATTTAAATGATTTATATTGTGTTAATCTCCTGGTATCTCCTTTTGAGCCAACTGGATTGTTTCAGTATGTGAAGTGCAGGGGAAAACATAGAAGGAAAAGAGACTTAGATTGTCCTATTAGAGTTACACCCCAGGACGCTCACTAATTAAAGGGCAATTGAGAAAGAAAATAAAAAGCTGAGATAGCCCTGTGTAATGCTGGGAGACCAGATCTCTCATTCCCCCAGGAACTTCTCTGGAAAAGCAAGCTTAGGCACTCATTTGAAGCCATGGGATGTACTTTTACAAAGATGAACTGTGATTGAGTCTAATCTAAGTAGGAGCTTAAAACAAGTCAGAAATGCCAATGCTGGGAAACTCATTTCCCTTGGCAGGGGAAGTTGGCATAATGGTTATTGAAAGACTGTGAAAAACGAAGCTTCTCCTTATTCCCGAGTTGTAAGTGAGTGGGGGTGGAGTGAGAGGAAGGGTGGAGGCAGAGGGAAGCGCCTATTAATTTATCATGTATAGATTTTCCTAGTTGTTCTTTTAGGGTTTGTTTTTTTTTTTTTTTTCCATCTCCCTCCAAGAGAATTCTGTGAAGTGACCACTTAGCATTGCTTCATTTTGTCAGTTTGTACTTTAAAAGATAGGTATCTCTTTTTCTTACAAGGCGAAATAAAAACGGGGGGAGGAGGCTCCGTGTCCCTTCCCCTTAGTAAAATAACTTTTTGCCTAAGATTAGTAATATTGATATCATTGCTGTGTAATAAAAGAACTTAGGAACACTAGTATTCACCTTGAAACTTTATTAGCCTCTATGGGAAATGTCACAGTTAAGGGGCTTGTAGCTCTCCTTCGTTCCAAAAGACTTTAAAACAGCAGAAACTGCCAGCTAGCCCGGGTGAACTTTTCCAGTATATTACCAACTCCGTATCAATTTACCCTGTGACTGAAGTACACTTTTGACCAAAGCTCTGAATGCTTTTCTACTGATGCTGCTGCTTTCTTTTCTTAAAAGTCAAGTGGTGCCTCCTGCTATATAAATGGGGGATGGGGCCCTTCCTTCCCCCACTAATATTACTGCCCTCATTTGCTGCTGGGCTGTCTGAGGCCTTTGATTTAGTCAGGCTCCATCGGAGTGGCCTCTTCCCGGGTTCTGGCAGCGGGTGCGTTGCCTGAGACCTTGTCACTTACTCTTGGAAAGTAGAGAAAGACAGTCACCGGGCGCACCTGGCGTTTCTGCGGAGCATCCCGGGTGTTCGCTTAGCAGAGCCAATTAGTTTTCAAGCCATTTTGTGAAGATGTGCCTCTTTAGGACCGGGGGGGAGGCGGGAACTGAGCCACTTTAGGTGTCTCGGCGGAGAGTTGGACCACCTAGCAACTTCCCTAGTTGGGGAAGGGGTGTCTGTCCCCTCGCGATTTACTGGAGCCCTCCAGAGCAAGGAACAGTGACGGGAACAGCGCCGTTGGGAGAACGGTGTGGGAGCGGGGCTAGGGGCTCCTTTTCGGTAACGCCACGCTTTGGGTTTAGGGAGAGGGGCTGGGAAGAGAAAAGGAAGTCTGGGCCTAACACTCGTTTGTCGGGTTGCTTGCTAAGGAGTCAAGGAAAGAGATAAAGGAGGGTGAGTGTTTTCTGACCTTCCCTAATCCCTTCCCACCTAGGTGGAAAATACAGGTCTTGTTTGGGCCGTGGCGAGCCCCGAGGTGCAGCAGCAGGCTTTTCTTGCCGCGGAGGAACGCCCGCTGCGCCCCTTCCGCCCTGCGCCTCCACGGAGAAAGACCAGCGATCGCCTTAGATTTCAGACCTGGTCCGGCTGGGAGGGAGATTTGGCTTCAGTGCGTGGGCTTTTGTCTCTCTCTCTCTCTCTCTCTCTCTCGTGTGTGTGTGTGTGTGTGTGTGTGTGTGTGTGTGTGTAGGCCGAGCCTCCTCCCGTAACACACATGATTTAGCTATTTTACATCTTTCGTTATCTAGCGCCCTGAAACGGAACATAGAGCCATATATTAGATTGAGGTTAGAAGAGGTGGCGACTGTTTATTTAAGGTGATAAAATGGTCCATCAGCAGTAATCTCCATCGATATGTGCCACCAGGAGATGAAGGATGAGGGGACAAGCCACAATTAATTGCCCTATAGTTTTGTAGGAGAGAGTGGAGCCAGCCCAGACCCGCTTCGATCTCCTCTCGCGGCTCCTATTCATCATCTCCGCATTGTATATGGCAGCCTCGCAGGGGCAGGGGACGGCGAGGTTTATCTCCACGCAATATTCTCTCAACCTCACACACTGGCGCTCCCATTTAATTTATTAATACAGTCATCGGGAGACAAATAAGACCCACATTTTCTCCCTCCCTTCTTTCCCTCTTCCTTTTGTCTCTCTCTGCTGGTCCCAGGGCCCAAACGGCGGCCAGGCGGGGCGGAGAACGCCCAGAGCTTCAGCGATTTGCCGGGAGCTTTAAACTCGCGTAGAGAGAGAGGATTCCCACGAGCTGGGCCGCGCCGCAGGGGTGCGACTGCAATCAATGGGCTCCTCTTGCCGCGGCCAGGCAAACCTGCCTCGCCTCTGGAGCTGCTTCTAGACCCGCTCCCGGGGCTTGGAAGACCCCTGCCTGGTAGAGGAGGAGGGCCGGGTTGGTGGCAGTGCGCAGTGGGGACTTCGGATCGTGGGTGGTGTCGGCGGCCACGCCTTGGTTAAGGAGAGAGCCTTTCGCGGGCAGGATCGAGGTGGGACCTTCAAAACTCAGCCTTCGGCGCCGACGTCTGGGTGCCCCATCCCGCACATGGCTCCCTTTCCGCCATCCCTTCTAGCCTATAGCTCGGGAAGGCAGTGCGGGGTGGCGGGGAGAGCAAGCTGGAGTCCCGGGGACGTGAACCTCCACGCGGGAGGTTCGGGCCCGAGTGCTCTTCCTGCCTGCCCTCTGCCTTGCTGCCCAGCCCCCACGCCCCTCCCCTCCCGGGGCGCACGCGACACTGCCAGCAGGCGGCACTCCCGTGCGGGGATCGATGGGCGCCAGCCCCTCGGGTCTCAGTCTGCGGGACTGAGGGCCGCGACCTCGGCGGCGGTTGGGGAGGATTTCCTGCCGGATCGGGTAGTACCGCCCAGGCGGGGAAGCAGGCTTTTCATCTACTTCTCGGTTTCCTTTACACGGGGCGGGTGGGAGCCGAGGAAGGCCTCGGGGAAGCTTTGGGAAGTGAAGATGTGGCGTGGCGCGCACTCCCTGCACGCCTGCACATGACTGTTGACCTCTCCACACACCAAATGCCTGGAAACATATTATATCTTACCTTTCCTGGAACGAGAAATGAAATTCCAGAAAAGAAAATCATGGCCTGCTTTGCCCTCTTTGCCTTAAAATAGGTACATTGTGAAGATCTATTGCACTTTTAAAAACATTGAAACAATACAGAAGGATAGGAAGTGAAGAGTGAAAGTCTGCTCTAAACTGCACTTGGCCTGGCCTTCTGAAGCCAACAGGTGAACAAGTCTGTAACCTAATGACAGCACCTTTCTTTACTCAGAGAGCCTTAGACAGGAACATTGACAGATTCATTCAAGATAGAAAAGAAAAGGAACCATGGTCTCTTACACTACCTAATGCTAAAATGGAATTTCAAAGTCTGTTGCTTACAGCATATGAAAGTATCTCTCACAAATATAAAAAATTATTTATGAATAACAATTATGAGCTTGTACAAAAACTCTTCTTCTGAGTTTAAGAGAAAGTATGAACATTTGCTTGCTTTCTTGTTAGGAACTTAAGTAGTTATATTATGTATTGCTTGGCCTAGAATGCTCTATGTGTGTGTGTGTGTGTGTGTGTGTGTGTGTAATAGATATAATGACATACATTATATACATTTATACACAGTTTGGGCATATAGCCTGCTTCTCTTTCAAACCTTTTCATGTAGGTATTTATGTCTAGAAAATACTGCTAGAATGTTTGTGTACTTGCGTCATATTTGTCAACCCCAAGAAATGTTATTTGTGTTTAATAGCCTCAGGCTACCCTGAGACTCAGACATAAAACACAAATGTTTTCAGTTGTGACGATTTTGTGCATTAAAAAATAACATTGGAATATAACATGTATCTTGATGGCAGTTGGTCTACTTTTCTGGCAAGATATTTTGCTATAGCATTAAGTGTTTCACAAATTAAGAAGACTGGTGTGTGTGGATTAATTAAAGTGGATTGGCTTAGTCTAGCCTGCTGTGGACCTAACACACAGGTAGTCTTCTAGCTATTGAGAGAGCCTCCATTTTTCACTCCTAATAGTTACTGTTGTTAGCTACTATTAAGTTTTTCAACAGTTTATGGAGACAAATGAAACATTAGTTGGTGTTGCTGGCAGAGGTGAGGCAGAAGAGGGCTTTAGTTGAAGTTGAAGAGGGCTTTAGAGGACTACTTGGAGAAAGGCTTTAGCCATAGTTTAATTATCATGCATTATAAATATTAAAAGTGTGCTTCTTGTCTATGGGGGTAGTGACTGCAGTTGGTACCTATGCTGATGTAGTTGATGGGATAATGTGCGTGGGGAAGCATGTTGGAAGTTGACAATCTCCGGTACAGGCTGCTAGGGGCATGAATGCTAGACACTCTTGCTTCTCACCATTTGCATCGAGTCAAGCAGAAAAAAAAAATCAGTTAAGCAACTCCGTGGAGTGATTTATTTCTATTTCCATGGGCATATTGCCTTTGTTTATTGTCTTTTGCTTTTAGCTATTTTTTCAAAGGTGCTAAAAGGCCATCTCTGAAGTCAGACACTAACATTCAAAATCATAGACATTACTTATGTATTTTCCTGTTCATTCTCTTACTTTAATGTCCAAAACCACAAAAGTGTGGGAAGGAGAGAAACCCCTATAACTCAGTCATGCTATAGCAGTTTTCATGGCCCCCACATAGTTACTTCAGTGAAATATTTCAATTCAATTGAGTCACGAGTTTGAATGTTAAATTCTCCCAGCTTTCATTAGTCTTTTACAAATCTATGGGTTTAGAGGCTTTGGAGTTAGGCAGACAGGACTGTGAATCCTTTCTCTGCCACCTTCTAGTTTCTGGTTCTTAGTGGAGTTACAGTGCTTGGGAATTGCTTTATCTGCAAAATGGGAATCATGATACTTAGATAATATGGTGGTTGTTGGTTCTAGACAGGTGTGTGACACAGTATGCACTCTGTAATTATAGTTATTGTCTTTCGTGTCATTCCTAAAATGTCTTGAAGTTTTTATTTTCACAATCAATAAGCTTGAGAGGGTGTGTGAAGTGTGTGTGTTTCAGAGGAGTTGACATATGGATAAGTGTGAGAATACTCCCATCCAGGTCCTGGGGTCAAAAGCAGAGTCTGGAAGAATTTTAACATTAGTTCGGTTGCTGACAGAGGAGGGGCAGAGGAGGGCCTTTGTGTGAGGGAGACCCAGCAGCATAGACACTTTTCTACTTTGGGAATCAGGTTGTTGCTTTCCGTCTCAGAGGCCTGGGGCACTTCTGAGAAGCTTGGAGCCCTCATTCTTCCAGTACTCCTGGGAGGTGTGGAGGAGTAGCTGCTGACTGAGGCGAAGGCTTAGCTGGCTAGAGCCCCCTCGAGTGAGACAGGATGCTTACATAGTCAGCCCTCCTTTGCTGTGAAGCAAATCGCAAAAGGAGGGTTCCCTTACCATGCTGGGTTGCGATTAGGTGTTCCTTACACAAAAGTTTCATCTTGGGCGTTTCGGCCATTTCAGCGCAGATAGGGCACACCCAGGGTGATCCACCGGGCCTGGCTGCGGCCAAGGCCAGCGGCAGGTGCGCGGGTGCCCCGAGGGCCACCCGCCGCCTGGGCCAAGGAGTCTGGGTCGCGCCGGCGGGCGCCGAGGCCACCTTCTCTGGGCAGGCCCGCCGCGCTGAGGCGCAGACACGGCGGCTCCTCCAGGCCCATTAATAACCCGGAGGGCGCTGCGAACCGACAGCGCAGTCGCCGCAGGCTCCTTTTCCCGTAGCCGCCTGGCCCCTTCCCGCCCAGTTCTAGTGGAGGGATACTGGGCGCCCACTACCGCCGGGCCTGGAGGGTGGGGGTCCCCTCGCGCGCAGGCTGCTCTGGGGAGTGGCGGAGAGAGACAGCTTCATCAGAAGCTTCACCCAGTGTATGTAGCACAACAGAATCGCGTTTATCCTGGGGAACAGCCATCCGGGCAGGAGTTGGGGCCTTCTCCATCTAACCATTATGCTGATAATTAAATTTGCTATTCAATTTTTGAGGAGTCTAAGAAGAGCGTGCACACCAAACCCTCCAGAACAGCACCTCCACCCCAACTGTCCCTGCCTGGCTGGACTGCCTGGAGGGAGAACTGACTAGGCACTTGAGGGACCCCAGTGCAGGCACGCCCTTGGAGTCCTGGGGCTGCGGCTCGCACTCCACCTGGCTGCAGGCGTACTCTGCCCCGTCCCGCAGGCGTTTGGGAGGCAGTTGAGGAAGGCTCTGAGTCCCTGGGTCGAAGGGAGTGCGAGTAGCGCCCGCGCCAGACTGGTTGCTCCCCGTCTGGCGATTTTAAATCGTCTCCTGTGTAATTGTAAAAAGAGGAAAGCTAAATACACAGGCGACCATTATAGATAGAATCTCTTCCAGATAGCAGATTGGGCAAGAGACGGACTCTTTTCGTAATACGAGGATAAACACACCCTGAAACTCGAGATAGAAACTTCAGGAGTGGCGAGAGGGTCAGAAGGAACGAGAGGCAAAAGGAAAGAGGGAGAGAAAGAGAGACAGAGACAGAGGGAGAGATGCAGAGACTGAAACAGGAAGAAGCCTGGAGCTGTCGGTTCCGTGGAGAGGGAAAGCGCAGATTCTATCTGCACCCAGATCCAAGGCTTTTTGGGGAGCTTAGAGTCCTGACCCGGTACCAGTCAGATCTGGGTGCGGCGAATTCCAAGGGAGCGGCGCGGGTTCTCTCCCCCTGCTCTGAGTTCGCTTCGGTGCTCCCAGGGCAGAACCTTCCTCGAAGGTGGCTTACCCGGGCGGGTGGTGATGCTGTTGTCCCGGGAGTTTACCCAAAGGTGGGCCGCTCAGAGGGGCCGGACTAACCCGCTCCCTTCCCTTCCTCCTTCTCGTCTTCCGCAGGTTGCGACATGTGCGCTGACAACCGCAATGGCGAGTGCCCGATGCACGGGCCACTGCACTCGCTGCGGCGGCTCGTGGGCACCAGCAGTGCTGCGGCCGCCGCGCCCCCGCCGGAGCTGCCGGAGTGGCTGCGGGACCTGCCTCGCGAGGTGTGCCTCTGCACCAGCACCGTGCCTGGCCTGGCCTATGGCATCTGCGCGGCACAGAGGATCCAACAGGGCACCTGGATTGGACCCTTCCAAGGCGTGCTTCTGCCGCCAGAGAAGGTGCAGGCAGGCGCCGTGAGGAACACGCAGCATCTCTGGGAGGTAAGTGGCCCGCTGCACAGCGCCTCGCCACCGAGCAGGAGCCTCGGCCAGCAGGGAGCCTGGCCTTTAGCAGAGGCAACTGCGAAATGAGCCTCCCTTGGCCCCCGGAGGGTGGCAGAGAATATATTTCTCTGGTCCTGTAGATGGCTGGTGTCTGAAGCACCTGCAGTAAGGAGGCTGACAGAGATGGGGCTGATGCATTAGCAACCCAGCTAGGGAAACAGAGCCTACAAGTGTCTGAAGTAAGAGTCACCTTAACCTGCCTCAGTTCCAGCTGGAATGGATTTGACCGTTGGTCTCTCTGACTTTTGAGAAAAAGAGAAAACAGCTGAAGAGATGGAGCAGAAGAGGGTGGGCATTAGAAGGTGAGCTGAGTGACCTTTATGTCCCATTCCAAGCGCTTCCAGTGTGTTTCTGTGTCGGGAGTAGAAAGGAACGGAAGCATAGAGGAGAGGAAGGAGAGGCTGGCCCCTTTTCTCAGGTAACATCAATTTTGTCAGTGATGAACCTGAGAGATGACATGTTTCACAATTTTCAAAAGGCCCAAAGTAAGCCAATTATATTGGGAATTAGAAATCACAAATTCTGCTGCTTCTCTGAAGAACGGAAATTATGTAATCTTCATCAGGATGGAAAATCAAAACATGAGAACACTCTGAGCACTGTGGTGTAACCCAATTGAGGATAATACTTTAATGGCACAATCTACCTGAAGCAATTATTTTAAAATAACCTATTTGAAAAACGTCAGCCTGAGATTTCTCCCCAAACGTCATGGTGGATTATTGAGGTTCATGCCCGAAGAGATAGATGCTTATCATTAGGTAACCCTCTACCAATCTTAGCCACCTCCACCCATGGAAAGTTGCTTAAGTAATACAAGATGCCAGAAGTCATAACCTTAAGCAATATGTAAATCTGACTAACTGGGCAGGTGGTATAATAAAATGGGACTAGCTAGAAAATAAAGTTTCTTAAATGGCAGGGGCCAAGTTGACAGGAACCCCTGGGGTCCATTAATGGGTCATTTCTGCAAGAGTTTGCCTCTCGTACTTGGCTTGCTGGCCTGTCAAGATGATCTTTTTCACTGTGGGCTGCCTTATAGTCACTAAATAAAACTCAAGGGAATCATTAATCCACTAAAATTTTTGATGAGCGCCCACTCTGGCCAGCACCATATCAGGCCTTGGAGAAACTGTGAAAAACAGATCTGGTATCCAGAACCTTCCTGTGACTATTGAGGCCTGTGTCTGTAAAGCCTCTTTTGATGGAGGAGGAGCTCAGTGCATGAGTCCACCGCCCAGCAGCCCAAAATGAGGACATGGCGGCCAATGAGCTACCTACATTATACTTTCCTGCTGGAGTGCCCTGGCTCAAAGCATCTGGTTTTGAAACATTTTGGTTTTTGTTTCTGACTAATTAGTTGTAACCTCCAATATGGTTTAAAGTTTATAAAATACTTCTAGGTACTTTTCATGTTTCAATGGTGTTATTAGGAACTCTATTATAATATAGTTTAAAATCCGCCAATATTTTTCCAAAGGAAATTGTACAGCAATAGTTCAATGGTACAAATTTACTCTACCAGAAAATGTTAAAACTGAATACTATTATATTGCCTTTCGATGCCTATCTATTTTTAGGTGCCAGGGGGCAAAGACATAAACATAAAACAACAAACAAAAACCTCATAGTTAATTCTGGGTTTTTCCCCCCCAAGGGGCTTTGAATGATTAGGATGTTGGCAGGTGGCCACTACACATATAGACTATAATAATGTATATCAACACTGAAAACTGTGGAACTTCTTTTTTCTACCTTTACTTGTACTTGATGAAGTTAAAATTTTGTTGTAGTAAAGAGACTGGGGAATTTAGTCAGTGTTTTTCTTTTTCTTGATACTTCAGTAGATATAAAGCGAATTTTACATATTGTTCAGGGCATGTGAGTTGAGTGTGTTGGGGTGGTTCTTAGAGTTGGTTCTGTGTTAGAAAAAAGACTTGCTGGGTGTATGCTTTGATGATCTATAGGACCCAATTTTTAAATTCAGGACATAATCTATTTTTTTTAATTATCTGTAACAACAGTTAGAATGATACATTTAAGAAATTGAAAGGATATTAAAACTTCGGCCATGCAAAATGTATGTCTCCTGGAAGATCACATGAAATGTGATGAACTGGGGCCAGGTAACTTAGTGCCAATGGCCAATGTCCATTTGTAAAATAAAATACTTACTGTATAAAATAGGTTGCAGATTTTATTAGCATAATGATTTTCAACATGTGAAGTATGAGCTTTTACAAAATTTTTAAGCATTATGATTTATTTTTATGAAACATGACTGTTTGAATTGTTACATTTATAATACAAGATTCCAAATGTGACATTGTTCCTTAAATTTTAGTTCTTTCTTTCAAAGCTAAATATTATTCTGAAATTTTAAAAAGTCATCATATTATTTATATTAGAATCAGCAAGTAGAATACATTGCAGATCTGTAGGAAATGTCTGGCAATAATTGTTCAATGACTCATGTAATAATTATCCATTTCACAAACTTATTCTTTTAGATGTCTTCCAGAATACCAAGTCAACATAAAGCGTATTTGGAAAAAAATTAAAAGGAGTTGAATCATGACTATTTTCTTTTAATAGGCAACTGTAATCATTTCTCTTCCTCACATTTTTTCAAATGATTTGCTGATGAAGAAACGTCTTTATATTTCAAGTTCAATACTCAGGTCCTGATGTATCTTACCACAATTACTTATCTTTATTTCAGTACAATAAATGGATTGCTAATCTTTTCCCGTCACTGTTTCCAAGTAGATGATGGATTTTTGTTTCAGTTTACAGTTCATTGTTTTTAGTATGGTTGTACTTTATTATACACATGAAAGCTTATTACAGAAACAATCAGATTCACCTTAGTTACTCCTTTTATTTAATCATTAAAAGCTCTATTTTCTTTGTAGAAAAACGACTTTTTGATATTTAATACACATCAGCCATGGAGAACTTCTTTGGTTTGTAAGCCTGCAATCATTCTTTTTAGTTAATATGTTCTTTGTGTATAATCTAGTTCTTCAAAATACAGCAGTTTAAAGAAAGCTAAATATCATTTCATTACATTCAATATATTTTGACTCTTCTGGGTGTTTATGGGAAATTCGAAGAAAGTTTTTTTGTGTGTTGTTTTATTTTGTTTTGCTTTTGTAATAAACCAAGGTAATATTTTATTTTTTATAGTTTAAGAAGATTACAAGTGAAAAGCCAAATCATTAGTCATTTATTTTTGCCAGTTTCTTTTAGACTCAGGATTTTAATATGTTTTTTAAACAATAATAAATTCAGACACTTTAAAACAAAACATAGCAGGGTGCATTAGACAATCACTTGCTTTGGTTATATATATTTATTCCAAGACTTGGATGCATGTTACATTTCTAGCTATTTGAACATAGTATGAAGAAAAATCTTTCTCAATGTTTTCCAAAGAAAACAGAATCTTTCTCAGCCTTTAGGTCTTATTGATGAGAATGAGATAATTTTATCCTAATGTGTTTTCTAACAAAGAAGTGAAAAGGCACATTTGATTCCAACATTTATGAAAATGTTATCTCTATTATTAATGTGCCCCCTTTCCCTTGAGATAAATTAATCTAGTTGCACATGGTTTCCTCTTTCTGCTTAACATCAGAATTTAATATGACTGGACCTGAGGAATGTACCCAGTGTATACTTAAAATTCTACTGGAATAAAATACCGAAGTTTAAAATAAAGTTACAGTTTAAGATAGGCTAGAATTACTCGGGCCTTTCAACTCAATATCTGATTTGACAAGAAATTATAGCAAGAATGACAAAATAAATTGCACTTATTTTCACCCTAGAAAAATTATCCTGCTAATTGAAATAATGTAGTGACTTGTTAGGATTACAGTTAAGATATTAGAAAGGGCTTTAATTCTACAGAACCTGTCTTCTGTTTGCCTGAGTAAATTTGAGTGTCTCATTTTCATTTGTACTACGTGGAAATCTTCATTATTTTTCTTCCAAAAATCAAGGGGGATAACATAATGTGAGCCTTTTTGTGGTTTGGTTTTGTGCCATAATATTTTAGATTTAATAAGAGTTTTGCTGTTAAGCAAATGGTTTATTTTTCATCGTTACTGTTTAGCGTAGGTCAAGAGATATTAATGAAAACCAATATTAAAAATATATTACACATTGCTAAATGTTTATATTTCAAAACCATCGTAGGTAGTTGGTTCTCTAGAAGAAAATGAATTGATTTCATATTTTAAATGTATTATATATGTTTCTATAAGTAAGTCAATTTCATATACACAGTACTGTACCCACTTGTATGTATTTAGATGTTGAAAAAGTATTTTAAATTAATCACTTTCAATTAAATTACAATCATTTAAAATTTGTCCCAGTGATAGTACTATAATTATATACTTCATATTCTGCTTTATAGACTTTGGCTCATTTGGGCATGATTCACCAAAACACTAGGGGATAGAATTATGTGGCTGTTGCAGTTATATTGAAATAAAAATTGTGTTTTTCAGCAATTTATCATTTAATACAGTAGCCTGCCTGTCAGTTTGGCTTTGAATATGTCAAATTTGTGAAAGTCAAATAATTTCTCCTTAAAAATAAACCATAGTAATGTTACTATTATGTTTTAAATTATGCAGAGTAACAGCTGGTGCATCTCTCTGGCTTTGCCTCATTTGATTTGAGGATGTCTTTTATAGTGGTGCCCATTTGATAGAGTGTGAGCATTTTGTAGTTTTACATATACTGTAAAACCATCTGCTGCCTCTTGGAATGGTTTCCAGCATTGTGTTAAAAGTCAAAACTTAGTAATTTAAGTTGCTTTGAAAATGTCCATTTAAATTTCTGGTCCTTTTCGTTTATGTATCCTGCTGTATAGTGCCACCCTTGGTTTTCTAAGTTCAAAAATAATGCTGCTTTAAAAAAAT